GTGCCCCCTCCGCCGCGCGGCCCCCCGGCCCCCCCCCCCCCCCCCCCCCGCCCCGCGCCCCGCCCCGCCGCCCCCCCCAGCGCCGCCGAAGCCCCCGCCCCCTCCCAGCGCCGTGCCGCGCCACGCTGCTGAAACACCCCCGCGCTGCCTGGCCGAAACAAAAAACAAAACAAAAAAACCCCTCGAGCGCCCCCCGCCACCCCAACATTGGCCGCCCCTTCTGAGGTGCAGCCCCAAGCACGTGCTTGGTCGGCTGGTGCCTAGAGCCGGCCCTGACCTTGGGATAAAAGACATGCCTGACCGCCTCAGAAACCTCCGCCACCACTTTATCTGCAGACAACTTTCCAGCACCAAACTGGTTGGCAATGGACTTGTAGCTGCCTGGCGTAGCCAGCTTCCATATGGTTACAGCAACCTGCTTCTGGACTGGCATGGCCACCCTCACGCATGTGTCTTTACACGTGAGAGTCGAGACAAGATGCTCCCAATGCTCCAGAAATGTGCCTTTCTTTATGCAAAAGTTCTGGACCCACTGCTGGTCATCCCAGGTCTGCGTGACGATGTGGTCCCACCAGTCTGTGCTTGTGGCCCTGTTCTGGTTTATGTAGGGAGCATCAGTGACTATACCGAGTGTCATGAGCAGCATCAATCAGTTTGAGTTTGCCATGTCTGTGTCCTTCCCCTCCTCCTGCTCTATCACTAGCTCTGTCAGACAGAAAACACCACTGAACTGCCCAGCAGTGGCTCATGGAAGCTCTATCTGTGTCCTGAAGCAGGAGTGAAAGGCCACACAAGAGAAGTTCTTAAAGTGCCAACTCCTCCATGTTGCTGGCTCCGGTTGCAGGGAGCACACGGACCAAAATGATAACTCGGCAGGATGTGCTGGCAGGCTGTTCAAACTTCCTGTATGTGCGGTGTGGACCGTTAAGTTTTCCCATGGTGTACCACGAACAAAGGGCTAGAGCGGCCACATTTAAGGAGGGCGCTAGGAAGTCTGGAGTACGGTTGGGTGGACGTGGGGCTGTGTACTGCAGTGTGGATGCTGGATCCCCAGGTTCGGGCCTGGGTTAAAAATTCTTAACCTAGGGTTGGCAATCAATGTAGATGCTCAAGCCTCGGGTTCTCAAACCCAGGGTCCGCTGACTCAAGTCTCACTAACCCTGGGCTTTCATTGCAATGTAGACATTCCCATGGTCTTCTGCACACACTGCTTTGCAACATAGCATCACTCCAGCCGTCACCTCACACTAAGGGCTTGTCTACACTTGGAACATTTCAGCTGCATCAAGAATCCTGGCTTCTCTTCCTGGCTCTAGGAGTAGATTGTGGTCCAGGATAACAGATAGCACAGTGTCCCTGTCTGGGTCATCTCTTGGGTTTGAATCGGGGCTCTCTGGATATAAAAGCATAAGCCTCTGCCATGTGAGCTAAAGAGCCGTCTCTCTTTGTTCTGGGAGCAGCAGCACTCATAGATCTCTAAATGTGGTCTACCGGCAACAGGTTGATGCCTGTCACAGAAGCAGCTGATTTGGCATGTTCCTTCCAAGGGGCTGTATGGCAAAGCTGCTGGGACTTTGTTCTTTTAGGGAGCTCTGCCTGCAGTGGCCTTGTACAGGCTCACAGTTATCTTATCAGTAACAGATGGATGACAGCTGTCCCACCCACGGTACAAGGGCTTAAATTAATGGAGATATCCCATCTCCTAGAACTGGAAGGGACCTTGAAAGGTCATCGAGTCCAGCCCCCTGCCTTCACTAGCAGGACCAAGTACTGATTTTGCCCCAGATCTCTAAGTGGGCCCCTCAAGGATTGAACTCATAACCCTGGGTTTAGCAGGCCAATGCTCAAACCACTGAGCTATCCCTCCCCCACCCGGCTTGCCATAAGGGGTGTGAAGGGCTGTATTAACCTCAGTCAGCGGAAGAGCTCAGCTGAGCTTGCAGTGAAGGGCACCACAGGCGCCGACTTTCATTTTTCAGGGTGGGTGCTCCACCACAAGGCCCCACCCCCACTCCACCCCTTCCCCCAAGGCCCCACCCTCCCTCTGGCTCTTACTGCCTCCTCTCTACCCCCTCCCACATGGCACCGAACAGCTGATCGGCGGGGCCTCCTGAAGTAACAGCTGATCAGCGGGTGGCTGGTGCGTGGTGAACACCCACTATTTTTTTTCCGTGGGTGTTCCAGCCCCAGAGCCCCCATGGAGTCGGCGCCTATGGAGGGCAATGTGGGGCAGTAGTGGGGAGGCATCTTTCCTAAAATCCCAGGAAGTCTGGAGGTGTTTGTGTGACTGCCCGCAGCTGGGAGGCTAGTTAAGATAAATGGGCGTGAATAGGCTGCACCGGATCCTGCAGTTCCTGCTGGGAACAAGTGGCTCTTGAATCAGGGGAGCTTTGCTCGGCAAGCACCCTGCGTGCGCATTGGTGTCTCTGTTTGCATCTCCCCAGGCGTGCAGCACAGCCCGTGTCACAGGCCAGAAGGGTGTGTAAGGCTCACACCAAGGTGCTCCGGAAGGTCTTTCTGGGCCTCCTGTGTGCAGGTGAGACTGTCAGGCCCTCTCACAACGTGTGGGCGATCCTCCCTGGGAATCAAAGACACTAGAACCAAGAACCCCTCCTCAGCCAAGTGGACTCACCCCCTCAGCATGTTCTCCAGACCTTGGGCTAGTCTGGATTTCTGTGTCCCAAGCAAGGGGGGCGTCCACGCCTTGTCACAAAGGTTGCACCTGAGCCCATCCATCTCCCATCTTTCCAGCTGCAGTGGGCCTGTGTCATTCTCTCCCCGTTGATCCTGGTCAGACTTTCTCCTCACGGGGAGTTCAGGCATCTCTAGTCCTGGAATAGCATGACCCTGCCCCCCCACCCCGCCTGGTGAACATGCACAGATGTCTACTTCTGCCTTCCTGTCAGTCCCTCCAGCCCCCAGGAATGGCTGGTCACTACACGCCCACGAGCCAGCTCGCTTGACTGCTGTGGGATTGCTCTGCAGTGGTAGGGGTTGTGTGGTGAGGGATGGGGGAGGAATAGCTGGAGACAAGGGAGGGTTTGTAAGAGCTGAGTCTGCCCACAGGCCCCTGAAGCCGCTCACTGCCTCTGCCCTGCTTCTCCTCAGCGTACTTGGCCTATTTCATTGCTGCCTGTTGGCTGGACTTCCAGCGAGCCATCGCCTTGGTCGTTATCACTGGTCTGGTCATCTTCTTTGTGGGCTGGGGCCTCATTCAGAAACACTATGGAGCCAAGCTGACGAAGCTTCTGAGCCCCTGTCAGAAATGCTGCCTGAAGTCCTGGCCGTGGCTAAAATGGTGAGTCTGGCAATAGACACTTTATCCACCGAAAGCAGCTTTCCGCTGGGCTGCATGTTTCACCAGGTGCACTGGGTCTCCGTCACGTCAGTGCACACACACCCCCAATGGGCATGGGACAGCTGGGCTGGTGGGCACACACGGAGGTTCTCTGTGGGCATGCACTAACTGGGCCTGCGCTGGATTGCACAGCTGGGAGCTGTGCTGAAGCCGGCAGACACATGCTGGCACACACTCCCGCACAGATGTGGCCCTAGAGGCCTCTCCGGGGAGGGATCTGACAGCCGCTGCAGGTGTGCTAAGAGAGATTGTGATAAGATGCACTATGCCTCTCCGTACTGATTGGAGAGGGCTGCAGTTTGGTTGTCTCTTCAAACGATCCCCATCTCTTCCTCGATGGAAGCTGATCTCCACTATGGGGTATTCGTTCAAAGAGCAAACATCTCACCTTGGTCCCTGTGCCCGGGGCACTATGGGTAATTCCTGGACTTTCCTGCCTTGCGGTGCAACCCTCGCTCACACAAGTGGCCCTGACGCACCCCAGTGGTCTCATTGGCTTTGATCAGGCTACTTGTCCCCATGTAGACACTTACAGACTGTGATCAAGTCACCTCTTAACTTTCTTTTCGATGAACTAAATAGACTGTTTCTTTAGTCTCTCACTGTAAGGCAGATTTTCCAGACCTCAGATCATTCCTTTGGTTCTTTTTTTAACTCTTTCCAATTTTTAAATATCCTTTTTGAAGTGTGGACACCAGAACTGGACCCAGTGTCCAGCGATGGTCTCCTCTGTGCCGTATACAGATGTCGTACCATGTCCCATTTGACGTTACCTTGTTTATCCATCTAAGAATCACATTAACTCCCTTAGCCACAGTATTGCACTGGGAGCTCATGTTCAGTTGGTTTCCACTGTGCCCCTACATCCTTTTCCGAGTCCCTGCTTTCCAGGACTTTAAAGGTGCTATAAGTTCTTTGATCTAATATGTATGACTTTGCATTTGGTTGTGTTAAAACGCTTATTGTGCAATAAGCTCACCTTACCGTGTGATCCAGGTCACTCAGGAGAACTGACCAGTCCCCATCATTATTTGCCACTCCACCAATTCTTGTGTCGTCTGCAGATTTCACCGGCAATGATTTTATATTTTCTTCCAAATCATTGATAAAATATTGAATAGCACTACACTGAAAACAATAGAAATACCATCACTGGATAACAATTTCCTGTTTACTACAGTTACATTTTGAGATCTACTCTTTAACCAGTTTTTTAATCCATTTAATATGTGCTAGATTTTTTTATTCAGAATTTTATACAGGACTCGGTCAAATGCCTTACAGAAATCTAAGTCTATTATGTCAGCTCACTTACCTTTATGAGCTAAACTTGTGCTCTCATCAAAAAATGATGACTAGTTTGTTTGACCAGATCTATTATCCATAAAGACATGTTGACTGGTATTAAAATAGAGGGAAGAGAACTTATTTAGCACAGAATCAAGATGTTGAGAGCAAAATTAATCAAGGATCAAAGAACATAAAGAGAAGACATTCTTAGATTACCTAAATACCAATGCTAGGAGCCTGGGTAACTAATAAGAGGAGCTGGAATTGCTCATTTATAAACATAAATTTTATTTTGTTGGTATTGCTCAAACCTAGTGGAGTGATTCCCATGATTGGAATGTGAAAAGCAATGATTATGGAGTGGGCAAAAGGGGAGGGTAAGTGGCCCTCTATGTCAAAAATGGTATTGCCTGTTTCCAAGTCACTGATAATTCAGAAGAAAATTATTTTGAATATGTATGGATGAATATCCTAATAGATAAAACACAAGATGGGATATTAGTTGGTGTCTGCTACAGACCACCAAATGACTAGGGAATAGAATGACTAGCTCTTTATCCACCTGTCTTCAATGTGTAGGAAGAAAAGCTACGTGATCATGGAGACTTCAGTTTGAGTGAAATATGCTGGAGGTCTCATGCTGCCAGTACTAAAACACCTTTGGAATTTCTAAACATTATAGATGCCAGTTTCCTAACTCAAAAAGTGTTGCAGCCAACGCGGGGGAATTCTTTATTCGACCTTGTCTTGAAAGGTAAAGAGGAACTGATCACAGAACTGAAAATTAATGGTACTTTAGACAAGTGATCATGACTTGATCACATTTATAATGTGCAAGCAGAATAAAGTCCAAACGAGTAATATATATATACCTGGTTCTTTAAAAGGGCCAATTTCACAATGCTGATGAAACAATTATGAGCCAAATCAGTTGGGAGAAATTTAAATTTAACCAGAAAAAGGAGAATGCTTATTGGGAATTGTTTAAGAACATCTTACTAGAGACCCAAAACCCCCACAATCCCATCACTGAAGAAGGCCATACTGGTTAAAAAACTGATGTAGTTTAGAAGGGTAATGAAGGCAGCTAAAAAATAATATAGATAGATAGATAGAAAGAAGAATGGGGAAGTTGATGATAATAAATATAAATCAGAAGCTAGGAAATGTAGAAAATTGATAAGGGAATCAAAGGGACACTAGGTGAAATCTATGGTCAGCAGAATTAAGGATAATAAGGAGTTTTTAAAGTATATCAGGAACAAAAAGAATCCTCACAATGGCATTGGTCTAGTACCACATGGAAACGTAGCATTATCGATAATAATGCAGAAAATGCAGAAGTGTTCAACAGATATTTCTATTCTGTATTTGGGAAAAAACAGATGAGATAGGTCTAACATATGAGGATGAGGATGATAACACTCTTTCCAATCCACTACTATTTGAGGAGGATGTTAAACAGCACTACTAAAGTTAGACATTTTTAAATCAGCAGGTCCAGATAACTTGTATCCAAGAGTTTGAAAAGAGCTGGCTGAGGCGCTCGTTGGACCACTAATGTTGATTTTCAATAAGTCTTGGAATACCGGGGAAGTGCAAGAAGACTGGAAGAAAGCTAATTCTCTGCCAATATTTTAACAGGGTAAACAGGATGATTCCCATAATTATAGGCCTGTCAGCCTGACATTGATCCTGGGCAAGATAATGGAGTAGCTGAAATGAGACTTGATTAATGAAGAATTAAAGGAGGGTAATGTAATTAATGCCAATCAACATTGGCTTATGGAAAATAGATCCTGTTAAACTAACTTGGTTTTTTTTTTTTTTTTGCTGAGATTACAATTTTGGTTGACAAAGGTAATAGTGTTGATGCAATATACTTAGACGTTTTAAAGGCATTTGACTTGGTACCACATGACATTTTGATTAAAAAACCCTAGAAAGATGAAATTAAAATGGCACTCATTAAATGGATTAAAAGATGGCTAACTGTTAGGTCTCAATGTAAATGTAAATAGAGAAATACCTGGAAGTAAACATAAAATCATCACTGATAAAGTTGACAGATGATTCAAAAATTGGGGGAGTGGTAAATAACAAAGAGGACAGGTCACTAATACAAGAGCAATCTGGATTGCTTGGTAAACTGGGCACAAGCAAACAATGTGTGTTTTAATGTGGCTAAATGTAAATGAATAATCTAGGAATAAAGAACGCAGGCCACACTTACAGCATGGGAGACTCTATCCTGGGAAGCAGTGACTCTGAAAAAGATCTGGGGGCTGTGGTGGATAATCAGCTGAACATGAGCTCCCAGTGCGACGCTGTGGCCAAAAGGACTAATGTCATCCCTGGATGCATAAACAGGGGAATTTTGAGTAGGAGTAGAGAGATTATTTTACCTTTGTCTTTGGCACTGATGTGACAACTGCTGGAATACTGGTTCCACAATTCAAGAAGGATGTTGATAAATTTGAGAAAGTCAGAGAAGAGTCATAACACTTGTTAAAGGATTAGAAAACCTGCCCTATAGTGAGAGACTCAAGGAGCTCAATCTATTTAGCTTATCAAAGAGAAGGTTAAGGGGTGACTTGATCACAATATATAAGTACCTACATGGGAACAAATATTTAATAATGGGCTCTTCAATCTAGCAGAAAAAGGTCTAACATCATCCAATGGCTGGAAGTTGAAGCTAGACAAATTCAGACTGAAAATAAGCTGTAAATTTTTAATAATGAGAGTAATTAACCATTGGAACAACTTACCAAGGGTCATGGTGGATTCTCCATCACTAACATGTTTTAACTCAAGACTGGATGTTTTTCTAAGAGATTTGCTCTAGGGATTATTTTGGGGAAGTTCTCTGGCCTGTGCTGTACCAGAGGTCAGTCTCGATGAGCTCTGGTTCCTTCTGCCCTTGGAATCTGTGAATCTATGAATTAATTATGCTGCCACCCTTAACTTTTTTACTGAGTGCATCCCATGTCAACCTCTCCGTGATTTTGCCTAAGGTCTATGTCAGGCTAACCAGCCGATAGGTACCTGAGGCAGTGTTGGAGTCCTAAAAACACAAGTGCTGGAACACAAGTCAGTGGGAGGCCCTGGTAGGGAGCAGAAGCTGGATGGTAGTGGGGGAGCTGGGCAGAGGTGAGGATAAGGACAGTGCTGGGAGAAGCCCAAGGAAGCAGGGTGACTCCCCACAGAGCACATCCCATCCCCGCATCCCCCCCTACCTTTGCGTGACTCCTGCTCCCTGCTGTCCAGGTGTCCCCAATACCCAGCTCCCGACATTGTCCAGAACCGCAATGAACGCCCAGTCCTGGCCGCAGCATCCTGGCTCCCTCTGTGCTGACCCGCCACTGAGCAGCCTCCACCTGGGCCTGGCACCCACACCTGACAGCTTGGAGGATGCTCTGCAACAATGGAGAGAAAGGAGCCACTTGGACCGGGTCCAGCAGAAGTACCACAATGCTGTTCCAAATCTTAGGAAAGTGCCAGGACAGTGTTCTGGCATGACTCAACACTGACCTGAGCAGGATCTTATATTGCTGAGGCCAAGTCATCATCTGCCAGGTTGGGAAGGAGTCTCCTTACCAGCCATGAATGGTAGAAAGTGTCACCCACGGATGCTGCTGTGAGAGCTCAGTGATAGCAAGGCACCCAGGAGTCTTCTACACTGCAGACTGCCCTGACCAACTGGGGGTCTTTGTCTCCAACGAGAGGAGATAGCAGGCTCCTGTAGGAATATTCCTCAGCCATTCAGCATGACCTCCCTCCTCCTTGGGGCTAACTTCAACCAGCCGCTGCCACTGGGCCAGCTTGGGGACAGGATGTGACTGTGTGTAGTGAGGGTCAAGTAGAGTGTCAGCGGCATATTGCTGGCACTGAGCCTTGTCATCTCACTGGAGGGGGAGAACTGATCCTCATGCTGCCAGGAGTTCCTGCACCCACATCACCTGGCCAACTTGCTGTCTGGTTCTTCCCCTGCAGGGTGTTCTGGCTGGCCGTTCTGGTTGGTCTGGTCACATGGCTGGTTCTGGACACCTCCAAAAGGCCAGAGCAGCTGATTTCATTTGCTGGCCTCTGCGCATTTGTTCTGTTCCTCTTTGCCTGCTCCAAGCACCATGCTGCAGTAAGTGGATGTGTTTCCTTTGGGTTCTGCACTTCCATGCAGGAAGGACTTGAGCCAATGCTGCAGATGCTGCTTCTCCATGGGAAGGTCTCCCTGACCAGCTCAGCTCTGGCTTGTCCTAGGGGCTGAAGGCAGAGGTTGTCTCTGGGAGCATGCACCCTCTTGTACTGTTTGCATTTGTTATTTCCTGGTGCCCCATAGAAGAAGCCTCTGGGGCACCAGCGGAAAAGGGGGAGGGCGTGCAGCCAGTGGAGCTCACTGGCAGAGATCAGAGAGGCAGCATGGCCAGAGAACAGAACATAGGCCACCCACTCCTGAGCCCAGATTCTGGCTTTCTGGGTGACACGCCTCTGAGCTTGGGCAATAAGTTCCCCATCGACCTCCACCCGTAGTGGGGACAGAAATACTGACCTAGGGCCAGAGTTACAAGGGGGTCGGGCATTAACCTCCCCTGCGTAGGTAATCTTGAAAATCCCACTGGGTGCCTAGCTGAAACATTAGGTGCCTTTGTAATTCTGCCCCCTCCCCCCACCCGTTTCTTGTTCAGTGGGTCAGGCTCTGCTCTGGGTCACGGTGATGCAGGGCCATTGACAGCAAAGTGCCTCTGAGAGTGAGCCTGGCATGTGTGCAAAGGGTGATGTGTCCTTACATGGAGGGATTGTTCCCCTGGCCCCCATTCCCTGATTTGCACCATCTCATTGTCTGTCTTCCTGGCCCCTTCCTCTGCTCTCTCTCTGTCTGCTCCTTGGTTTCCTCCCTTCCACCTCCTTATCCCGCTTTTTCAGAGTGCACTAGAGCCCATGGGATATTCAGAAAGCCCTGCCTCTCTCTGGCCAGGGCCTGGTCAGCCAAACAGAGGTGGGAGGCTCACTCTGGACTGGAGGGATCCCTTCAGAGAAGGGGGGAAGTGCATCTTGCAAGAGGCTCCCTCAGCCCAGCACGGTGGAGTCAGTGCTCACATCCCTCACCTGGTCCTACCTGCTGTCTGTCTGGGGGTTTCTATGACACCCATCACCATGGCAGCTAAATGCCTGCTGGCTCCTCCCATGAAATGACAGTGGGGCTTAGAGTCTTACATGACTAACAGAGGCTAGAGGGTGGAGTGGGAAGATGATGGGACTCAGTACTTAGAGCACTGCTTTGGTCTTGGTCCCAGGTGCCCTGGAGAGCCGTCTTCTGGGGCCTTGGCCTGGAGTTTGTTCTTGGGATCTTTATAATCAGAACGAATCCTGGATTCGAAGCATTCCAGTGGCTTGGCAATCAGATCCAGGTACCGAGTGCGCTGCTGCCAGATGGTAGAGGAGGTTTGAGGTGGAGCGGGGAGAGGGCATGGAGGTGAGGTGGATGGGCATGTTTGGAGTCAGTGGAGATGAGTGTGGAGGTGGGAATGGGGTGGGGGTGGGGGTGGTGGAGGTGGGGCTGGGGTGAGGTTGTGTATGGAGGTGGGGCTGGGAGGGTGGGGGTGGAAGATCAAGGTAGGGCTGGGGCTGAGGTGGAGGATGGGGGTGGGGCTGGAGGAGTGGCGTGGAGGTGGGGCCAGGTGGGCGGGCAGGGGGCTAGGTTCTAACTATTCTTTATTGCTCAGGAGATGGAAGCTTAAGCTGGTGTTGGCCAATAGCCTGCAGGCCAGACTGTCACGGGGACCTGGCGTGACAAGCTGTTCCTTTATCTGTAGCAGGAAGCCGGGCAAGGAGTGGGCCTGGCTCTGGGCAGGAGTAGTGCAGAGAAGCAGAGGAAGGCTGAACAGTTCTAGGGCTAGGACTAGTAAAGTTCCTTGTTCAGTGGTAGCAGAAAGCGGCTCCCTCTGTCCGGGGGCCCCACAGGCTCTGGCCCTTCTCTCATGTTGTTGGTTCCCATAAACTTGTCAGTAAGTGGGGGCTCCCCAACTCCTGTTGCCCTCAGTGTTCTGGCACCCAGGAGGCAGCCTCCCACCCCATTCCCTTTATCTGGGCCTGATTCCTTGCCACAGAGACCCCGATGCTGCCATGAAGTCCCTGGTGGCTGCTGGAGCCTTTGCCTCCAGATCATTTGTCAGGCCACTGACACTTCCCTTACACTCCTGGCTCTACTCCAGTTCCCCCTCCTCCACTCTGTCCAGGGCAGAGGCTCTAGAGGCTTCCCCATGCCATGCAGTGCACACTGGGGCAGGATGGATTGTTGCTGTGATCCCCAGGCAGGGCTAGAGCACTGTGTGAGGGAGGGGGTTTGGGGGGCGTCCCCGTGACAGTCATGACTGAAGAGGCCTTGTGGCATATTCTCCGTAGCACTGCTCCCCAACATGTACCATCTCCCCACACAGATCTTCCTGAGTTACACCACCGCTGGCTCCGGCTTCGTCTTTGGGGACAGACTGATCAAGGAGGCCTTTGCCTTTCAGGTCAGCACGTGGGTCACGGGGAAGACAGTGGGTGTTAGGAACTCGCTTTCCTTTGGCCTGGGTCATCCTGCCAAGCCTACAAGGGGAAGCCATTGGCACCGCCTGGGGAGGGGGGGCATGAGGTGCAGAGCAGCCCTGGCTCTCATTCTGCCATCCTGTGCCTGCAGCGAGAGCTGGTACTGTGAGATCCTCCTTCTACCTGCCATGCAGCCCTAGCACTGCCGGAGCCCCAGGGCCATCCTGTGGACTATTCTGTGCTCTGTGATTCTGCGCCACGCCATGCCCAGCTGCAGGCACTGGGGCGAGATGTGGGACTTCATCCTGAGCGCTGCCACGGGCTCCCAGCAAGCCCTGCTCGGCCCCTGTGCTGACCCTGTGCGCTGCTGTTCTGCCTGCAGGCGTTACCGATTGTCGTGTTCTTCAGCTGTGTGATGTCCATTCTCTACTACGCTGGCCTCATGCAGTGGCTCATCCTGAAGGTAAGGCCAAGCCCTGGGTCTCGGGGGATTGCAGCTCTGGTACAAGGGGGGATTGATGGTAGGACCTGCTCCTCCCACATGTTGCTGGGGCTGTATAGGTCTTGGTGCCCCAGTGTTCATGTCACTATCCAGTCTGTCCCCCTGCCCCACCTTGAAATAACCTAGACTTGCTCGCAGTGCAGCACCCACACAAGTCCCAGAAGCTCCTGGCACTGGCAGGCTGGGGCAGCAGGAATCCTTACGAAAGGGGAACACATGGATGGAAGCTTTGTATTAACATAGGACTCAGCCCCAGAGGGGCTGTCCCGAGCTCTCAGGAGCTCCTGTGGGGCTGTGCAAAGCCCTGGTACCAGAGCACTCATCCCTGGATCTCTGCCTCAGCCAGCATGTCTTGGATCTGGGCCCACAGCCAGGCAGGGTCTGGCCACTGGGGGAAAAGCCTTTGTGAAATGTCCTGGATTTGTCCTGAGGCTGAGCCCTGCCTGCTTCCCTGCAGATCTCCTGGCTGCTGCAAATCACCATGGGTACTACGCCCACCGAGACCCTCAGTGTGGCAGGAAACATCTTTGTAGGACAGGTAAGAGCTGCTAGGAGGCAACCTAGCATCCCTCAGGCTGGGCAGCACCAGGACATGACCACCAAGCACTGCACACCCCCTGCAAGGGGCAGAGTGCCCCCTGCCCTCCATACAGAGCCATGCCCTGCAGCAGGGAGCAGCTGCTGTGTGGTATTTCTCCTGAGCCCTCACAGCCAGGAAATGCAGAGATGTCAGGGTCCTCTCCATGACCTCCGGGCCCCTCCCAGTCCCTTTGGAGATGCATGTCTCAGCCCCATGATGGAGGCCAGGCCCCAGTCCCATTTCCCCTGTCAGAGGGCAGGCTCCTGGGAGGCAGTGCTGCAGTGTGTGCTATGGACCAATCTAGCCTGCTCACTGCTCCAGAGGATGCGTTCAAACTTCCCCCAGATCCCTGGGGAGACATGAGCCCCCAGGGTAACGCTGTGGGATGAACCCCCAGGGCACAGATGGCTAGGGAGGCATCTCTTGTTCTGTAAATCAGCTGGACCCTCATTGCCTTTTCCTGTGGTGCAGACAGAGGCCCCGCTGCTGGTCCTCCCCTACCTGGCGGACATGACGCTCTCAGAAGTCCATGCAGTGATGACCGGGGGCTTCGCCACCATTGCCGGCAGCGTGATGGGAGCCTACATGTCCTTTGGGGTGAGCGCAGCAGTCAGCACCCAGACTCCCCTGCCTCAGTGCAGGCAGCGATATCCGGGCATGGCAGCCACCTGGCCAGGCTTTACCCAGACAGGCTGGCTTTTGGCTTCTGTGTCCGGGCACCATTTAGGATGTCCAAGTGCCTGGTAAATGGCACCTGAACCAAAAGTCCGGTTACCACGGGGTGGGGAGAGGCACAGGATCATCCTGCACCAGCCCCTGCTCAGCTGCAGCCACCTCTTACCTGCAGGCAGGCTCCTTGAGACGATCCAGCGAGCAACAGGGGCAGGGCCTTGGGTGCAAGAGGTGGAGAAGGGGGCAGGGCTTGGGGGAAGAAGCAGAGAAGGGGCGAGGCCTTGGGGGAAGAGGCTGGGGTGGGATGGGGCCTTTGGGGTCCGGTTACCAGCAATTAGAAAGGTGGCAACAGAATATCTGGGCCTACGCTTCTCGCAGCATGTATGCCATAGGGCAGGGGTAGGCAAACTTTTTGGCCCGAGGGCCACATCTGGGTATGGAAATTGTATGGCGGGCCATGAATGCTCACGAAATTGGGGGTTGGGGTGCGGGAGAGGGTGAGGGCTCCAGCTGGAGGTGCAGGCTCTGGGGTGGGGCCAGAAATGAGTTCAGGGTGCAGGAGGGGGCTCTGGGCTGGGGCAGGAGATTGGGGTGCGGGGTGAGGGCTCCGGCTTGGGGTGCGGGCTCTGGGGTGGGGCTGGAGATGAGGGGTTGGAGGTGCAGGAGGTTGCTCCGGGCTGGGACTGAGGGGTTCGGAGGGCAGGAGGGGGATCAGGGCTGGGGAAGGGGGTTGCGATGCAGGAGGGGGTCAGGGGTGCAGGCTCCAGGCGGCGCTTACCTCAAGCAGCTCCCAGAAGCAGCGGCATGTCACCCCTCTGGCTCCTATGCGGAGGCGCAACCAGGCAAGCCCCCAACCCCGCTCCCAGCTGGAGTGCCGGAGCGTGACAAGCCCCGGACCCTGCTCCCCAGCAGCTTGAGGGCTGGATTAAAACTTCTGGAGGGCTGGATGCGGCCCCTGGGGTGTAGTTTGCCCACCCCCGCCATAGGTCTGCCTGGGGGTCTTAGCACATAGGGGGACTGGCACAAGAATTGCCACGGGGAGGCAAAGGGGCTGGGGCGCTGGTAGGAGACAGACCTGCCCTCAGCCAGATGTAAAGTTCCCCAGGATGCACCTGAACGGCACCCATCCACAGCCCTGCCTGCCCTGCCATGAGAGCCAGCAAGCCCATCCCATGGGGGCATTCCATGGATTTCTTTGGCTCCTTTCAGTGTGGGCTCAGCCCTGAGGCTGGGACGGAGGCTACACTGCAACTAGACCCCTGCGGCAGGCCATGCCAGCTGACTCAGGCTTGCAGGGCTGGTTAATTGCGGTGTAGACGTTTGGACTCAGGCTGAAGCCTGGGCTCTAAGACCCTGAGGGTGGCAGAGCCTGATATGTACACTGCAATGACACAGCCCCTTAGCCGGAGCCCTGCGAGCCCAAAGCCAGCCCCGGGTGTCTCATTACAGTGTAGACATACCCCAAAAGACTAAACTATCGGGTGCCACAGTCTGTATCTGTGCTGGCAGGTACTGTACAGAGCTCCCCTTGCTCCAGGGTGACCAGACAGCAAATGTGAAAAATCAGGACACAGGGTGGGGGGGTAATAGGAGCCTATATAAGAAAAAGACCCAGAAATTGGGACTGTCCCTATAAAATCGGGACATCTGGTCACCCTACCTTGCTCTGGCCTGTGTGGGCAGAATATCTTATCTCTGTGTTTGGGAACTGCATGTGACAGGGCTAGGAGACTGTATCACCTGGATTTCTGTAGTGTAGATGGGCCCCAGAGACGCACAGCTAGGGTCAGAGCTCAGATCTAGCCAAGAGCCATGCTAGCCAGGTCCCTGCTTGAAGCTGACTGGAGGTCAAGAATGGGGGCTCTTGGATGCCCAACCTGAAGCCTGTAAGCACCAGCTGCTGCCATTCTTGTCCTGGGGGCAGCTGAGCTGAGGCTGGGGGTGGGACATGTGCAGCCAGGCCCTAGGAATGGGCTGAGCAATTGGGCACAGAGCGTCTGGAGGAATCACCCAGCCGATAACTCCCTTCCTAGCCATGGTGAGAACTGGGGGTGCCCATGGTTCTCCTGTCACTGCTCCCCTGCCACTCACACCAGGGTTCCTGTAGTGTTAGTGTGCTCTGCGCCCGCTGAGCTGGGGGCACCGGGGTGCCCATGCATCCTGCTGGCAGGCACTCCTGCACATGCTTTGCCAGGGCTAACCACTGGGAATGTCCCCATCATGTGTGCTGCAGATCGACCCCTCCTCGCTGATCGCTGCCTCTGTGATGGCCGCGCCCTGTGCTCTCGCCATGGCCAAGCTGGTCTACCCGGAAGTGGAAGAGTCCAAATTCAAGAGCAAGGAAGGCGTGAAGCTCAGTAGAGGGTGAGTGATGCGGTGCTTGGGGTGCTAACACCCAGCTGGCACAGGCAAAACTCCCTTGCTGTAGGGGCAGGTGGCAACAAGGTGACTCACAACCCTGGGTGCCCTGAGAAGTGTCACAGCCCCACACTACACTGCCTGGCTCTGCCCTGTCCAGTCTGACCTTGTCCCCAGCCCTTCCCTGCCCTTCCGCACCCCATGCTGCCCTTCCCTGCTCTGCCTGGCCCTGCCTCACCTAGCCTGGCTCTGCCCCCACCCTGCCTTTCCCTGCCCTGCCCTGCCCCATCCCACTCTTCCCTGCCCAGCCTGGACCCACCCCTCCCCTCCGTTCCCTGCCCTGCCCTTCCCTGCCCAGCCTGGCCCTGCCCTTCCCTGCACTGCCTTGCCCAGCTCTGCCCAACCCTTCCCTGTGCTGCCTACCCTGCCCCATAATGCCTGCCCCACTCTGCGCTGCCTGCCATATCCTGAATCTGGCCATGCCCTACCTTGCCTTGTCCTGCCCCGCCATGCCCAGAACCTGCCCTACTCTGGCACGACTGGCCTTGACCAACCCAGCCAGCCTGGCTCTCCCCACCCTGCAGACATGCCACTCCCATGCTGTGCTTAGCCCTGCCTCAAGCCCTGCAGCATGTGTCCCCACAAATGCTCCCTCCCAACACACCAGATAACCACTATGGCGGGTTGGATCACAGAAACCCCCTTTGGGCTGCCAACTGATGTGCCAAGACTACTTCTGCCCCGCTTTCTTGCGCTGGCAGCTTGGGACTTCAGTGCCCTGCCTGGTTTGAGCCCGACCCGCTAGCCTGCTGCAAACCCAGACCCAGGTCTGAACCATGTTCCCTAACAGATGTAGGCTTAATTGAAAGCAGCTTAAGAAGTGTTCCTGTCTTTAACACTCAGATGCCCAACTCCCACTGGGGTCCAAACCCCAAATAAATCTGTTTTACCCTGTATAAAGCTAATACAGGGTAAACTCATAAATTTTACCCTCTCATAAATTGTTCGCCCTCTATAACACTGATAGAGAGATATGCACAGCCCCCCCCCCGGTATTAATACATACTCTGGGTTAATTAATAAGTAAAAAGTGATTTTATTAAATACAGAAAGTAGGATTTAAGTGGTTCCAAGTAATAACAGACAGAACAAAGTGAATTACCAAGTAAAATAAAATAGAACATGCAAGTCTATGTCTAATACAGTAAGAAAACTGAATACAGATAAAAACCTCACCCTCAGAGGAATTCCAGTAAGCTTCCTTTTACAGACTAGTCTCCTTCTAGTCTGGGTCCAGCAATCACTCACACCCCCTGTAGTTACTGTCCTTTGTTCCAGTTTCTTTCAGGTATCTTTGGGGGTGGAGAGGCTATCTCTTTAGCCAGCTGAAGACAAAATGGAGGGGTCTCCCAGGGGTTTAAATAGACTTTCTCTTGTGGGTGAACACCCCTCCCTCCCCCTGTGTAGAATCCCAGCTACAAGATGGAGTTTTGGAGTCACATGGGCAAGTCACATGTCCATGCATGACCCAGAACTTACAGGTAACAGCCATGGTTCACATGCTACCTTGAACGTCTTCAAGTAGACTTCTTATGTGGATTGGAACCTTCCAAGATCCATTGTCCATTAAGTGCTTCTTGATTGGGCACTTAACTTGCACATTCCTTTCTCAAGAAGCTGACCAAATGCTTTACTAAGGCTACTTAGAAATCAAGCAAGTACACAGCCAATATTCATAACTTCGAACACAAAAATGGCACATGCATACAAATAGGATGAATAGATTCAGTAGATCATAACCTTTACATAGATATGTTACATGGCATATGTAGCATAAAACATATTCCAGTTATGTCATATATACATTCATAAGCATATTTCCATAAAGCCTTATGGGGTGCAACGTCACAACCACCTCATCTGCCCCTTCAGCCTGCACTGTGCCATGAACATCGGGTTCCGACTCAAACACTCTCCTCTGGGCTAAACCAGCCCTGCCTTCGCCCTGCAGGTCAACAATCAATGCACCCCAGCCCCCACATCCTTTCAAAGTGTCCCCCTATGGTGTCCAGCCCCTGATCACTGGATACTCACAGAAATCCCAGACCCTCTGGTCCCAAAGGAGCAGTGTCCCCTACTCAGCCTACCAGTCCTGTACCACACACAGCACTTGAGGACAATTATAGTAAAACAAAAAGAACTGTATCTGAGAGAGAATAGAGATTCAAATAGCAACAAGTGTGAGTGATAGAAACTAGTGGTTACAAACAACAAAATCATAACTGCGACCTCTGGCCTACACTTGCGAAGAGTTCCCTTTCCTAGGTTCTCACCCCAAAGTTCGGTCTTTTGCAGCACTTGCTGGCCCCAAAGAGGCAGGGCTCAGTACAGGAAGCATCCCACTAGTCAAGGTACCGCCTCAGTGAATGGATGCGGAGTCTTTCCCCACCCTGTAATACACTGACTCAGTCCTTTGTCTCTGTTCCCAGACAGGCCCAGCCCCTTGCTGCCCGGCCGTTCCTGGTCACTGCCATGCGGTTGCGATGTTTATAGTTTGATGGTTTTCCATTGCCTTGCCTGAGTTGTTTCAGCGGTGCAAAGCTGAGACATATCTGACGTAATCAGCTAGCCAGGGAGAGGCCATCGCAAGAAATACGAGTTCTTGGTGACTCTCTTTCACTGCAAGACCATAGGGATGTAATTTTCAGTATAGTTACATTAGCCCTTCTCTATTACCTGTACAGGCATCTCATAGTGATTCTGAGTGGCGAGAAGTGACCTCACATGCGGCCCTTTATGGATCAGTCGCATGATAATGGTGTATTATTAGGTATAGTGAGTTTGTCAGGTCTGACATGAGCTGCTTTTAAAGAACAGTGAGCTCTCTGCCAGCTGGCACTGACCGCTCTCCTTGTACCACCAGGGCTGAGCAGAATATCCTGGAAGCTGCCAGCAATGGTGCCGCCGCCTCTGTGGGGCTGGTCGCTAACATTGCAGCCAACCTGATTGCCTTCTTGGCTGTGCTGAAGTTCATCAATGCTGCCCTGTCCTGGTTCGGTGAGATGGTGAACATCAAGGAGCTCTCGTTCCAGGTACTGCCATGCCGAGCACCTGGGGGCAGCCCCACACCCATACGGACTCGCCCCATTCTGCGCTCCTCGTTTTGCCCTCTCCCTTGCCCACTGCAGTGCTTCCCCTGTGCCACAGCCACCATGCCCCTTTCTCCCATGGCCTTCACCTCCCCCTGAAAGTACCCCTCCCGCACTCTGCATGCTCTCCCCGGCTCAAAGCAGAGCAAGAAGCTGCCCCTTCTCCCCTCCTCCTGCCTAGGGTTGCCAACTTTCTAATCACACAAAACTGAACAACCCTTGCCCCTCCCCTTCTCTGAGGCCCTGCTCCTCTGCTGAGGCTCCACCCCCGCTCACTCCATCCCCCCGCCCTGTTGCTTGCTCTCCCCCACCCTCACTCACTCACTAATTTTTTCTGGGCTGGGGCAGAGAGTTGGGGTCCAGGAGGGGTTTGGGCTCTGGGGTGGGGCCAGAAATGAAGGGTTCAGGGTGCAGGAGAGGGCTCCAGACTGGGGCAGGGGACTGGGGTGTGGGCTCTAGAGTGGGGCTGGAGATTAGGGGTTTGAGGTGCAGGAGGGGGCTCCAGAATGGGGAGGGTGGAGCCGAGGGGTTTGGCGTGTGGGAGGGGCCTCCGGGCTGAGGCAGGGGGTTGGGGTGTGGGAGTAGGTACGGGATCTGGGCTGGGGGTGCTGGTTCTGGGATGGGGCCAGAAATGAGGGGTTCAGGGTGCGAGACAGGGCTCTGAGCTGGGGCAGGCATGTGGGGGGTTCAGGTTCCAGGAGAGAGTTTGGGTGCGTGAGGGGGTCCGGGGTGCAGGCTCAGGGAGGGAGTTTGGGTGTGAGAAGGGCTCCAGACTGGGGCAGGAGGTTGGGGTGTGGTAGGGGGTGTGGGCTCCGGGAGGGAGTTTGGGTGTGGGAGGGGGCTCAGGGTTGGGGCAGGGGGTTGGGAGGGGGTGCAGGCTGTGGGAGAGAGTTTGGGTGCAAGATGGGCTGCAGACTGGGGCGGGGGGTTGGGGTGCAGGATGGGGTGCGGGCTCCAGGTGGCGCTTACATCAGAGGGCTCCCCGGAAGCAGTGACATGTCCCTCGGCTCCTAGGCGTAGGGGCGGCCAGGCTGCTCTGCGTGCAGCCTCCGCCCATAGACACCGCCCCTGCAGCTCCCATTGGCTGCAGTTCATGGCCAATGGGAGCTGAGGAGCCAGCACACGGGGTGGGAGCAGTGCGTGGAGCCTGCCTGGCCACCCCTGCACCTCGGCGCCGCAGGGACATGTCACTGCTTCGGGGGAGCCGCACGAAGCCAGGTAGGGAGCCTGCCAGCCCTGCCACCCGGACCTTGCCCTCACTGGTCAGGCCTGTGCTGGGATCCCCACCATGGCCCCACTCTCACGGCTCTCACCACCTCCACCTGGACAGATCTCAGGTCTTCTGCTCTGCCTGCCTCCCCAAACCTCCTGACAGCACCAGTCCTGCCCCTCAGACATGCTGCTCCCCACTCAGTCTGCCCTGGCTCGCCTCCACCTCCGTACTAAGGACTTGAATTTCCACCTCTCCTCTCGAGCCTGGCTCCCCCAGGCCCACATCCGGGCCCATCTCCCAAGCTCTTCCTGCTGCCCCATCCTGAACTCCTGGCTGAGAGCGGCTGCTGGGGAGGGGACTTTGCATTGTGTCCAGTATCTCCCTTCTCCCCCCGAGTCCATCTCAGAGGCTCTGTCCTCTGAAAACCTGCATACCCCCCCGACAATGACCCACTCCGCTCAGATACATGCCCAGATCCAGCCTCTTGGCAGTGCCAAATCTCACTGCACTGTGATCTCCACACAGCCAGACAACTCCCATCCAGTGTGCTGGAGCTTGTCTTATGCCGCATGCAGCCGCTGGACATGAGATGGGTGTGAGTCCTGCCTCCCCACTCTCCTGGCTGGGTGTGAGTCCTGCTAGTGCCAGGCAGCCTGAGAGCGCTCACCACCTTGTCCACCCTGCCCATTTCAAAACAGGCCTCAGAACAGCTCTAGGCCCAGCAGAAAAGGTGCCAGATTTATGACAGCTGTGTTCTCCCAGGTCAGCTATTGGGGGGCTCTGGCCGAGAGGCAGAGCGGGGTGCAGAGCAAAGATGGGGTTAGGAACCTGAGCCTTCCCCAGTCCTGCCTAGGGTTGCCAACTTTCTAATTGCAGAAAACCGAACACCCTTGCCCTGCTATGCCCCTTCCCCGAGGCCCCGCCCTTGCTCCACCCCTTGTCCAAGACCCCACCTTTGCTCACTTTCGCCGGGCTGGGGTAGGGGGTTGGGTTGTGGGAAGGGATGAGGGCTCCGGCTGGGGGTGCGGGCTCTGGGGTGGGACCGGGGATGCGGGGTTTGGGGTGCAGGAGGGGGCTCCAGGCTGGGGGGTGGGGCCGAGGGGTTGGGAGTGTGGGAGGGTGATCTGGGCTGATGCAGGGGGTTGGGGTGTGGGAGGGGGTACAAGCTCTGGGATGGGAGTATGGGCTCCGGAGTGAGGCCTGAAATTAGGGGTTCAGGGTTTGGGGGGGCTCCAGGCTGGGGCAGGGGGTTGGGATATGGACTGCAGGCTCCTGGGGGGAATTTGGGTGCCGGAGGGGGCTCAGGGCTGGGGTAGGGGGTTGGGTCACAGGATTGGGTGTGGGCTCCAGATGGCGCTTACCTCAGGCGGCTCCTGGGAAGTGGTCACATGTCTCTTTGGCTCCTAGGTGGAGGCGCAGCCAGGGTGCTGTGTGTGCCCACAGGTGCCACCCCCACAGCTCCCATTGGCTGCGGTTCCTGGCAGTGCTTGTGGCAAGGGCAGTGCACGGAGCCCTCCCGGTCACGCCTCTGCCTAGGAGCCGGAGAGACATGTGGCTGCTTCCCAGGAGCCGGGCACAGAGCCTGCCTACGCCACCAACCATACTTTTAATGGCCTGGTCAGCTGTGCTGACCGGAGCCACCAAAGTCCCTTTTCGACCGGGTGTTCCAGTTGAAAACCAGACACCTGGCAAGCCTAGTCCTGCCAGGTGAGCACAGAGAGGCTGTTGCCCCCTAAGCCATGAGTTGCCTAAGATAGAGCCAAATAGGGCTGATGCTTCTCCTGTTCCCATTAGGGGTCTGCTGCAGCACAGCACCGCCAGAAGCCCAGCGCAGGCTGGCGCTGGGCAGGAGGGTGATATGCAATGGAGCAGCTGGGGGCGGGTTGTGGGTCAAACACACATGGGTGTTAACCATCTCCGGGGGCTCTGTCCCAGATAATCTGCTCTTACATCCTGATGCCTGTGGCCTTCCTCATGGGGGCAGACTGGGCAGACTCACCTCTGGTGGCTGAGCTGCTAGGCATCAAAATCTTCCTGAACGAGTTTGTGGCGTATGAGCAGCTGTCGACGTACAAGAAGAACCGGCTGGCGGGACTGGAGGAGTGGAGCGGGGGTCGCAAGCAGTGGATTTCGGTGAGAGCCATGAGCTGCCACGCTGGGGAATGGGCCGAGCAGCTCGCACTGCAGCACCAGGCATGAAGGGCAGCAAGCTGAGCTGGGGGGACTCTGTGTCTGGACAGAGGGAAATATTGGGGTGGCCTGTAGGGAGGAGCGGATGGGGGGCTCAGAGCACAGCTCAGAAACAATCTGCCAAGTGTCTCAGACTTCCTTGCCCAGACAGGGCTAGCCTGGCCCTGCATCAGGCTTGAGGCAGAAAGAGAGCCAGGGCTGCCCGGCGAGGGCTGCAGGCTCCCTGGGAGTGCCAGTTGCCAGCAAGCAGGGACAGGTGTCTCTGATTGCTCCCGACACAAGTCCCCACACGGCAGGTCCAGGGGCCACACAGACAGCGCAAAGGCTGCCCTGCACTCGCTGAGCTGCACTTGCCTTGGCAGACAGGTCAGGGCCTGCATGGCCAAGGAGAGCAAGCCCCTGGCCCAGGGTGAGTGCTGCCACGCACTGTGCTGTTCCTCCATGCTCGAAGGAGAGGGAAGGGCCAATTCGGCACCGTGGGATTGCTCAGGGTCAGCTCCGGGGCCTTGGCTTCTCTGTGTTGACTGTCTCACACAAGCTGAGGCCAGCAGGGTCAGTGTGGGGGGCGGGGTACATCACTGGGAGTGGCTCCTCCGGGGACACATCTCTACGATGCCTCTCACCTGCTGTTGTGTTGTTTAGATGCGAGCTGAAACCATCACGACCTTTGCCCTCTGTGGATTCGCCAATCTCAGCTCCATTGGGATCATGCTGGGAGGACTGAGTGAGTTTGGAGCGCGACGGGACAGGGAATTGAGAGCAGGGGTGAAGCCTGCAGTGGTATTCCTGGGGGAAGATCCACTGACCAAGATCAGGGCCCCATTGTGCCACATGCTTCACCACTCCCTACCAAGAATCAGGGTCCCATTGTGCAAGGTGCTGCACAGACCCCGATTTGAGATTGGGGGGCCCTGTCATTCTGGTGTAGCACAGACACAGTGAATTCCTACCTCAAAGAGCTCACAATCTGCATGGACAAGACAGACTGGAGGGAGAAGAAAGAGATGCCGAGAGGGGCAGTGACTGGCCTAAGGTCACCCAGCTACAGAACTGGAATTTACCAAAGTCTCCTGACGCCTTGCGCCCAGGCCCCACTCCTCCCCTTTGTGATTATACTGGACAGGCCATACAATGCCTTTCCATCCTGCTGGGGGAGCTCTGCACCCCAGCCCAGTGGGGGTGGGGATGGAAAGGGTGAGGTTTAGATTGTTGAGCACCAAGTAATTGTATCCTAAAATCACTAAAACCATCTAATCGAGAGAAACAAGAAATGGGAGGCCAGCCCTTTCCCATTGTTCTCACGGCCAGTCCAGGGCTCTGATGACTACAACCTAGTCCCGGAGGCTCTTTTACATACTCTAGGTGATACCACAGTTAAAACAAAACACAAACATCCCACTTATTAACCAGGGTCATTCTATTATTAAAGAAAGGAAAAGAAAACATTAAACAGAGCAAAACAGAACATAAATGATCATGATTGTGCCGGCTACACGCTCCAGACATGCTCTGGCCTGGAGTAATCAGGAGATATTGGGTCTCCTGGGTCTGTGGGAAGAAGAGGCTGTGCAGACACAGCTCCGAACCAGCCACATAAATGACTGACATCTGTCAGGGTCCCCTCTTCATTCTGAACTCTGGGGTACAGATGTGGGGACCCGCATGAAAGATCTCCTAAGCTTATATTCCACCAGCTTAGGTTAAAAACTTCCCCAAGGCACAAATTCCTTTCCTTGTCCTTGGACAGTATTGCTGCCACCACCAAGTGTTTTAAACAAACATTCAGGGAGGGGCCACTTGGAGCCCTATCCCCCCCAAAATATCCCCCCAAACCCCTTCACCCCCTTTCCTGGGGAGGCTTGAGAATAATACCCCAACCAATAGGTTAACAAGATGAACACAGACCAGACCCTTGGGTTTTTAGGACACTAAAAACCAATCAGGTTCTTAAAAGAAGAACTTTATTATAAAGAAAAAAGTAAAAGAAGCACCTCTGTAAAATCAGGATGGAAGGTAATTTTACAGGGTAATAAAAAGATTTAAAACACAGAGGATTCCCCTCTAGGCTCAACTTCAAAGTTACAAAACAGGAATAAACCTCCCTCTTAGCA